AAAGCTCACCCCCAGGGAGAAAAATAAATAAATCAGAAATCAGAATACAAAAAAAAAAAATTACAACAGATCTGGGTGTTTATTACTCTAACATAACTTAAATATCTAAATGCCACTGTCTGATCTGGACAACTAAGGGTTACAAATATCTTTTGCTTATCAAAGTAGTTTGAGTGAAGAAATACTGTTCTCAATCGTAAACTTGTTTCAAAAAAGGGATGAAAATGCAGGTGCTAGGCAGTCTCAGTTTTCTAAAAATCGAAGCTTCTTTTACCAAAAGAAGGAAACAGACAGGAATCTCAGTGGTAGACACTCACCTGGATAAAATCTGGGAACCGTTTCTTACAAGTTGGGCAGGTGAAGTAGCCATCATTGATATGAATGGCCACGTGATCTTTCAACAAATCAAGGCGGTCAAAGGATTCTGGGCAAAAAATGCAAGAGTAAGTCTTCTGGTCGGAATGGAGCTTCATGTGGCTCTCCAGAGACGCGCTGCTGATGAAGCCCTTGTTACACAGATCACAGGTCAGCGGGCAGTTCCCCTCCCGCCCATGGAAGCGCAAGTGCTGGTCCAGTTTGTCCTTTTCACGGAAGGCCTTCCCACACTGCAGACATTTAAAAGGCCGGAAGGACTTCCGGATAAACAGATGCTGAAGAGCTGCATTCTGAAAGACATACACGGATGGGATTATTTAGTGAGGAAATTAAGAGCGCAAGTGGATCACACTTGCATAGCGAAAGAGGGGATGCTCTCTGCAATCACAGACTTCCCAGAGAAGTTAAACTCTGGGACACGCACAGTTGAAAGAAGATTTTTCTGGTGAAGACACTGAAAATGAAGTCATCCCCAAAGTTCATCTTGAAAAAAACAAACCTACTTTATGTTTTGTTTTATGTCCATGAATGTGTGTTTTCTTTTGAAAGGATTTAAGTAACATTCAAGAAAGTGTTCCCAATAAAAGACGTGTATAATAAAATAAAACAAACCCCAGAGTGGAAGAGGATAAAAATTAAAGATTTGGAAGAAAATATGTGGGGTAAGTCACACATGCATGAATGAGCTTGGAGCAAGTCAGCCAAATGTTACTTGTTCAAGTCCTTGAGAAAAAGAATTTGAAGTCTGATTAAAACGTTTAGCAAAAAAATGTAATAAGAAGAACTGAAGGGTAGTCCTTGCCAGGCACAGGGTGAAGGAGGAAATGGATACGGGGTTTCTTCTGGGGATGATGAAATGTTCTGGAATTAGATAGTGTTGATGGCTGCACAGCTTTGGAACTATTCTAAAAACCATTTTAAAAGGGTGAATTTTATGCTATATGAATTATAAATCTCAATTTAGGAGAAAGAACCAAAAGGGAAATAAAGGATTTATATGAATGTGTTTGTTCACAAAACATGAGACATGAGCATATATCGTAAGTGGAAAATATGCATTTCATCACTTCCTACTTAGAAAATGCAAAGGACAAGGTCCCAGCGCAGCTAGTTAGTTCTACTGGTTAGAGTGCCATGCTAACAAAGTTAAGCATGTTGCTTTGTTCCCTAACTAGACCAGGCAATTTTGCTTTGTTTTCAGTCACAGATTACACTTCTGATGCTGATTAGCTATCTTGTAAATTCATGCAATTGTTATGGGGCATCCAAGTGGGAGAATATGGATACTCCGTGCAAACCCATCACTACTGCTGGAAAAACAACTCATGCTCTGCGGAGAGCAGACCAACGGAATCATCTTTCACACAGAGAATACAAAATCAATATTTTAGTTATGCTATAATGAAGACTCATTCATAAGTTCCTCAAAACACCGAGAGAAAGCTCTAGGTACCTATAAGGGGGAAAATCGCTCAAAACATGTATCTGTGAATAGGTGTGCCTATGTATTAATAGCTATTAGGGGACAGTAATTGAAGGATTAAGGGAGATCTTAATGCATTATTTGTGCAATGAAAAAAGTATAGTGAACGACACTTAAACTCAGTTCCAAATTACTGATACACAGCAACTTCTAAACTAAATTTAATGTGAAATAATCATTTGGGAGAAAAGCAAAATAATTAGTTTTTACCTAGTGAAATTTCTGACCACAGTTACTGTACAATGGAAACTGTCTCTCAGGCTTGTCTAACAGCGCTAGGAGTGAGATTTTAAGACGCTACCTACTCACCTATCTCGAGTAGATAAACAGCAATTCTGTTGTCTTCCCAGGTTGACTGGGCTGCTGGGTTGACGGGGATACATAATATTTTATTCTCCTTTGTATCTAGACCCCTTAATAAACTGCTTAGCTCACAGGAAGCATTTAATAATAGGTTGAGAATTAATGAAATATATTTCATATGAAACTCAAGAAAAACTATCTCAAGGTCTTTTCTACAGCATCTGCAAAGATCTTTAAGAACAGATCTGAGGCTGGGCGTGGTGGCTCACACCTGTAATCCCAGCACTCTGGGAGGCCGAGGCAGGAGGATCGTTTGAGCTCAGGAGTTCGAAACCAGCCTGAGCAAGAGCGAGACCCCGTCTCTACTAAAAATAGAAAGAAATTAGCTGGACAACTAAAAATATATACAGAAAAAATTAGCCGGGCATGGTGGCGCATGCCTGTAGTCCCAGCCACTCGGGAGGCTGAGGCAGGAGGATCGCTTGAGCCCAGGAGTGTGAGGTTGCTGTGAGCTAGGCTGACGCCACGGCACTCTAGCCCGGGCAACACAGTGAGACTCTGTCTCAAAAAAAAAAAGAATAGATCTGTTTTCACTCAGCGTCAGAGCTTGCTTTTACCTGTTACCTCCTCACACTGCTTAGCAGTCACCTCATCTTTTACTCTATCTGGACAGGTACTTATTTTACATAAAAGCTGTTACTATTTTGTCTACTTTCAAAACTTTATAGCCTTTTTTCCCTTCCTTTTGCTCTCCCTTTGCTGCGACAGTGGGTCCAGTTGTCATCTGTGGTGTATGTATCACGCTCTGTAAACCTGTATCTTGTTCTTGCTCCATAATCCTATCTTCCTCTCCTCAATTTTTATGCTTGCCTTAAAAAAAAAAAACTTTATAGAAATATTGCAGATAAACAGATGCTTTTCTGAGGTTTAGCAATGCTAGATTCAGAACACCTTTGCCATGTATGAACTATGTCTTTTATCCAAGTTCAGCAAAGTATCCAAGGACAGACACAACACACTCCACTTCTCCTCGGATGCCAAATCCAGAACTCGGTTTTGTTTTGGTCCATTTTGCTAATCAGTCTTCTGTCGTTTCTGATTGGCATGAGTCCCTTCAGAAACTTGATTTAAACTGAGCAGCCACCTGGCTCCACTTTCCTAGTTCTGTTGACAAACCTTATCATCTTTTCGATTTCCATAGAGCCCTGAACATTGTCTAAGTACTCAAGAACTAGACTGTCTTTCTCTGAGCTAATGATACTAATGTGATCCTCGCATTACAGGGTAGTAAAAGCACTGAAGCTGTTCCCACCCCTTGACCTCCTTGCAGGCCATTTCTACCTTAAGGTGTCTTCTGTAGCTCAGAGCCACAGCCAGTACACATTTCTAGAAGAAATCACGAAAAACAGTGAAGGGAGCACATGGATCCGTTATGGTTCTTCCAGTCAACCACACCATACTGTACGTACATCAGCTACTCTAGGGATACCAAAATAGTATCGTTGCTGAATTCTGTGATTCTGGATTCAACTCATGTTGCAATGAATTCTGATATGACAGATTCTTTGAAGACAAAGACTATAAAATATTTCTAAAATTTGATATTAATAGCAAAAGGAATCTAAATTATTGATCAATTTTCACACTATTTTGATCCTGACACTAAAAGGAAATCAAAAAATCATGTTTGTTTGTTGGTTTGGGATTATTTTTAGTAACTCTTCTTTGGCCAATTTTCTGCCCAGCTTTCAAAGCCTTTGGTGGGCTAGCTCTGCTCAACACACCTCACAGCTCACTATCCTTCCACAGGAAACCCAAGCTAGGGCCAAGTTAGTGTTTGCACTATCCCATAAGCATACCAAGCACATCCCTGTGTCTGGGTCTCTGATCCTGTGGCCACCGTTCTCTGGAACGGTCTTCCTTCCTCCTGTCTCTCTTTCAACCTAAGTCTCACCTCATCCATGAATTATCCTGACTCCTCCAACCTTCTTTGGACTTTCACTCTTCCAACTTCCTATAGCAATTATAAGCTATCCTTTTACATTTAACACTTAACTGTAAACTACCTTAGTGTTGACTCCTTATTCAGACTGTAAGCTCTTAGAGGACAGTGCTCAAGTGAAAATTCTATTGTGTACCTAGCACAGTGTTGACTATACAGTTAGAATTCAATACCACTGCATAAGTCATTCAAATGGTTTTAGTGCTGGAAGGGACCTTGGAGATCACTTAGTCCTACCCTTCATTTTGTATATGAGCAATCAGCATCCCACAATTTACTCATTGATCTATTTGCAAATAAATTATCATTACTCATTAATTTGCATTTACTATAGCAACCAAATTGTAGTTTCCACCAGGATTTAGTAAGTACAGGTTGCAAAGAACAGCAGGTCAGGCAAACACTTAAGTGACATTCTGTTATGTGAAACACAGGAAACAAACCTACCTGCAGCTCCAACTGAGCAGGCAGCATTAGAGGAGAGAAAAATAGTTACATTACCAATTGGATTGGAAGACTTCCCTTCAGTTGGTCATTACCAATCTGGATAGAAAAGATGAAAAAAATACATAGCCCTACTTTTTAGAATGTGTGAAAGGAAAAAACAAAATAGCTTAACTAAGACTGACCTCCAAAAGCCACATACATGCAGCTTTGGTTTTGACATAAGGAACCTTGTACCAAAACCAGTAACCCAACTCGATCAAGAATACAAATACAATTATAGCTAGACTATGCTTGTACACCCACAACTTCGCTATACACGTGGGCTTTAGTTTTTTCCTTCAAATTCGGAAGCATTTCTCTGGACTTAGTAAAAAATCAGAATGGCCAAAGCAGAAAAGACAGTAACTGGGTAAGAGAAGGAAGTACAGAATGGGAAATAAAGTAGAATGATAGACGGGAAGATCTTAGTTCATAGCTTTTTTCCTTTCTGGCCTATATGTCTGTAGGTTTACGTATCCTTTTGAAATAATATACATTGAGCCAAAAGTTTTATTTGTTTCAATTATAAGGCCCTCACAAAGGCCGTTTAGCCTCAGAGTTCTTCGAGCCCTTCAAAGCTATCATACAGCTATACATGTTTAAATGTATTTTTACATGAAGGCATGGACTAGACTATTTTTCAAGGTCCCTTCTAGCCTATAGGCAAATAAGACATCCAAAAGAAACATAAGCTAAAATGATCATGCATCTAGAAATCATAACGTCTGAGAAGTTATACGAAAAGTCTCTTTCGTCTACGTGTAAAGTACCGATAAAAGTCTTCATGTGCTCAGCGGCCACAAACACGGGTTTAAGTCATTATTTTTTTGTCAGCACAAACACTTCTCCCACAAATTCCACACACTAACTCAGACTCAAATGCTGTGTGTGAAATAATAAGAGGAAAACACATCTAAATGGGAAGTCACTGAAGCCCTGCAGCCACAGGGTCTGAAGCCAAGACCCAGGTCACACGAGTGGGACACTAACTGGTCTCCAAACCTCGAGCTTTAGCTCAAGCTATCCCAAGTGTGTGGATTACACCTGCGGTACCAACTTGGACACAGGTGCCTTTGCATTGGTGAGTAATGGCATTTGCCAGTCTCCCCTTGGAAACCGTACATAAGCAAACTTAGTTACCCAAAATTAACTTGAGAGCTACGATTAAGCACAGATTAGTCTGTTTAAAATATAATTATTACAATTGCATGTATTCATTTCTTCATTTCCGATCTGTGAATTTAGGGGTGCAGACAACTATCCTACTTTAATGATACTTAGTACAGGAGCTGCCCAAATCCAGCTTCTGTGTTATTACTAAATTGACAGAATCTAGGACCAGCCACGCCAGCCCGCCACAGGACACAGACATTCGTACTTCCTTCCAAAATAAGGGGACCGAGCACGTGATAGGCTAGATGCAAGATTTCACCAAAGTGGGTGGCCAACAGGTTGGAAACAGCGCCGTGACGCTGGCTGGCGGGAGGAAGACCAGCCTGGCGACAGGGGCGCGCTCTCCCCACCTACCCGGATGCGCTTGGCTCTGCGCATGTCGTCCGCCGTCAGCGTGCTCGGGGCAGGCCCCACGCTCTCTTCATGCTGGGGCTGCAGGTGCAGGGTGTGAGTTTCTGGTTCACGCTCCAGGGAAGACTGGGTTTCCTGTGGCAGCGGAGGGCTTGGGATAGTGGCCTGTTCCGGTTGATCCAACCCGTTCAGAGTGGCTGGTTCAGCCTCATCAAACTGTTCCTTTGTGGGAAAATGTAGCAAGTCCTGCAATTTGCAATAACCTGGGATTATTTCCCTACCTAGACAGAGATCAGTGCTGGAAGGAGATTGTCAGCTCAGATTTAGAATTGCTGCTTATTTCTGAATGACTAGATTCATAATGCTCAGAAAAAATATTCTCCCTCTGGAAAAGTTAATTAGGTCTAACTATGCACAGAATGAGAAAACTATGAGATATTCCAGACCTGTTAACTAGGAAAAGACGGTGATATTACTTTTCTGGAACATCGATAACTTTAATTGTTTAAACAAATTAAACAAAGTCCACCCCGAGTACCTCTGGTCAATTTCAAATCTTTAGGGCAGCAACTTGGGTTTTTGTTGGAAGTAACACCTGAAAATACATTGTTTTTGCTGTCCTCCAATCACACTTTGACAGGCAGCACAGCTCTGATAGGGAAGGACTATAAACATGTGGAAGGTCTTTGTTGTGAAGTCTAGGAAGGGACCCGGTGAGTCCTCTACAAGGGGGCTCCGTCCCGTCCCCAGTACCTGTGTCCCATCGTCGCTCTTTTCCCCATTTTCACTGGTTATTTCCAGGCGGATAAATTTCGGAGGCCGCCCTGGCCGGCGACCTGGGCCGAAGCGCCTCTTGCCGCGTCCTCGTCCTCTGCCTCTCGTTCTGGGGACAAGAGACCGGGTTACGAATCACTACGGTTCCATAACACCCACAGCAAACAGTGCCCTGAAGGATCCTGACTGTCCCCAGATTGTGATCTCCTCTCACTTTGTTACTTCCCTAAGCCTCTTCTCTAACGGAAACGATTGTTTTGCTAACACACACCTTGTGAACATCTACTCTTTGCCTTCTCCGCAGCTCAGAGATGTCTTAAATTATTCTGAGTAAATAAAAATTCAAAGCACTGACAACATTTTGCTTCTGAAACGATGTGAGAAAGGCAGGCAGGACAGAACGTGCTACCTCTTGGAGTGTGTTCCCAGGAGATGTCATCTGGGACAAGATTCCACGCTTTCTCTCTTCCTCCAGCCTCACCTCATATTCCTTCCAAGAAATGTGGCTAAATTCAAAGAACTTTCTTGTTTTACTATAAGCTTCCAAAAAGTCAGAACAAATTTCTAATTTAGCTGTTGCATAACATCCTTAGTAAACGCCAATTAAATTTTATCCCCTTTAATGGACTTCTAACATACAAAAATTCCTTAATAAAAGAGACCCAGAAAGTATGTCATGAAAACTTCTTTTAGAAGATGTGCGTGGGGGAAGCAGTGTATAATATTAATCAGATTGTGCTTTATTCTTCCCCCTCATCTATTTAACAATTCAACAAATATTATATATTTTTGCCAGGAACTTTTAAAAGGTTCTCTCTGATGACAAATTCTGACCCTAGGCAAATGTGGAGAATGGCGTGATGAGCCCTATGTACCCACAGCCCGATTTCAACATCAGTAAACTCACAGCTCATCTTATTCCATCGGTACCCTCGACCCTTCCCCCCACATACACCCATTAGACGATTTTGAAGGAAATCCCAGACATCATTTCATCTGTAAATATTTCAGTATGTGTCTCTAAATCATAAGGACTCTCTATATATGACCGTAATACCATTCTGATGCCTAAAAAACACCTGATAGTTGCTGAGTATTATAGCTTGTCGAAATTCAAATTTTCCTAATTGTCTCAAATCTCTTTTAACAGCTGGCTATCTGACGTTTTATCTACTGTGTATCATGCACTGTGCTAGGCTCTGAAGACATCAAGTTATATGAGACAGATTTTATTTACCCTTAGAGGTTTAGTAGAGGCAGCAGGCGATAAACCAAAAACCACAATGTAATATAAAAAGTGCTATAATAGAGCTACAAACAGAGTTTTAGCAACAGCCAGGAGTGACTTAAATCTCACTGAGCCTCCCCACCCCAATGAAAGACATTTACTCCTGTGGTCATATCCCAGATCCTATCACCTGCTTAATCCCCCATCACTCTGATTCCATGCACAGCCCCTCCGACACTATTTTGGCTCCCCAGCTCGCTTCCTCTCGTACTTAGAACAACCCTTCAACGTCGCTAGAATCTCCAATCCAATCCTTCTGTCACTTATGTGCAGTCCTGCATCTCCTTGATGCTTTCTCTCCTCTTCTTGCACGACATAAACTCCAAGGTCATCCACTGTGATCACTCCCTTGCATATGCTCTCAACTCCCATCCCCACTGCTGCTCCATCATTCTCGCTGTGTGCTATACGTGCTTGGCAAAACCATGACCCTGTGTAGTCCAACTCCCAGCCCGCTCTGTACCGGTACTCTTGCAGCTGAGTGAAGCTGGAGGACAACACCCAGCCATGCTAGTGGTCTCGCTGCCTTTCCATGACCATGTACCTCAGGTGGGCACTAATGTTGCAGGCAAGTATGGTACTTCCCTAGAACATTCACTTTCCCACTTATCTAGCTGCCATCCCACACTGTCTCCTCTCTTTCCAAACCCTATAAAAGTTGGCAACCCTTTATCTGTCCCATCGGTACTACTCTATTCCAAACAACCCTCGTTCCTCACTTGACCTGTTGCAGTAACTTTTAACTAGACTCCTTGTCTTCAGTCTTACTTCTAAGCTAACCTGGTGTTATTTTTATTCAGAGTGATCTTTTAGAATAAAATCCAAATTTCTTACCATTACCCATAAGGTCCTACCTGATCTGGCCCCTGCCTACCCCATCCTTTATGATTCTCCCCTCATCTATCTTTTTTATACAGTGGAATTAAACATACGATTTAATTCGATAAAGGAATCATACTGCTGAAAAAAGTTTGAAAATCAGAGATGCAGATTATTTTAAAGATACATACTATCTCAGAAAGTCCTATTTCAGAATCTCTAGTTGAAGCAGATTTAACTAAGGTGAAAGGATCTCCCATTGCTTGGTATTGGCTATACTGGAAAAGGGATAGATAGTGAGTAAAAAGCAGGAGGGAAAAGAAGTGAGAGGGAAGACATTTCCCTCAGCAGCCCACCCGGTTACCTGTGTACACACAGACATGCATACACACACACACACACACACACACACATGGAAACACTCGTTAGTTTACAGGCAATTAATACGGAAATGATTCTGAACCTTTATAAACTACGTCTGTGAGCCCTTCCCCTCATCTATACCTGCTAAACACATCCAGTTTCTCATCATGAGAATTAAGATGCTGTTGCAACTGCTCCGAGCTTATAAATCGGCGGTTACATTCATAGCAGGGCCAATTCTTCTCTTGCTCTCGAAGAACTAGTCACAGGAGAGAAATCATAAACGCTGATGATCAATGGACACCAATAAAACTCAAATGCCTGCTATTCCCACCACTTTCATCTCACTGGAACCTAAGAGTTCACAATTAGACAGCATCTGCTATTTGCATTACTGCTTTGGCATAAAAATCAAAGGATAAAACTTGGCAGAGAGTTGGTTTTTAGGATCTTATTTTCTGATACAATTATGTAAGATATCAAAGGAACAAATGCCCTCATACCACTTTCTCCCACCCCTAAATAAACACACACCCCCCTCACCACACTGGAAAGACAGAGAATACTACAAAGAAAATCTATATTCAGATAACCTAGTGATTCAGACCCCAGTTTCATAATCTGAGGGTATATTTTACCACAAATGACTTAAAAGTCAATGTCCCATATAATCACCCTAGCAAAACGTTCAGAAGTATGTAATAAATCTGAATATACAAATACACCATGATCCAGCAATTCCACTCCCAGATGTGCACCCAACAGAAACATGCAGACATGTTCACGAAAACACATGTGTAAGAATGGGCATAGCGGCACTCTTCGAAATAGCCAAAAACTGCAAACGATCTTGTTGTATGGCTTTTGTCCCTGGATGCAGGAGGTTATGTCTAAATCACCGGAATTTCCCAAGTGATATGAGTGTCTTTTTATTCATGGTGGGTCCTTCACCATACTCAGGTTTATTCTAATGAGATGACTCAGGGTAAGGCAGGCTTTGCCAGAAAGCAACCATGTGATTAAAAGGTTGGGGCTCCGAGCCACGCCACAACAGCCTGACCTCCCAGGAGGGCAGGGGAAGAGGACCAGGAGCTGGTGGTTGAGTTCAATGCCCTGGCCAATGATTCGATCAGTCACACCTACATAATGATGCCTCAATAAGAACTCTAGACACCAAAGCTCAGGTGAGCTTCTATGGATGGTAATCATACATCAATGTGTCAAGATGGTGACAAGTCCTGAGGACGTGGAAGCTTCTTGGGACCATCCCAGACCTCACCACATACATCTCTTCATTGGGCTGGTCCTGATGTTATCCTTTATAAAAACTATAACTGTTAAGTATAGCACTTTTCTGAGTTTTGTGAGTCATTCTAGTGAATAATCAAACCTGAGGGGCTTTGGGAACCCCCTAAATTGTAGCTAGCTGGTCAGAAGGTGTATGTGGCTTGGGAAGCACAGGGTTTGCAGCTGGTGTCTGAAGGAGCAAAGTCTGCAGAAGACTGTGCCCTTAACCTGTGAAATTTGACCTAACTCTGGGGAATTAGTGTCAAAGTTGCACTGCATAACAAAATGTACAGTCAAATGGAGAAATGACTTGTTATACATTAATACAATAGAATATCAATAATGAGAATGAGCAAATCACAATTATATAAAAAATGTGAATGAATCTCACAAATATGTTGAGCAAAAGATGCCCAGACACAAAAGATGTACATATCATATAATTCTGTTTATGCACAATTCCATTACAAGTACATCTTATGTGTGGTATCGGAAGTCAGAAGAGTAATGACGCTGGGAGTAAGAATTAGAAGGCAAAAGGAAACTTCTAGGGTACTAGTTATGTTCTGTCTTGATCTGGGTACAGGTTACAAAGAGGTGCCGACTTTGTGAAGATCCATCAAGCTGTATACTTATGATTTCTGTACCTTTCTCTATGCAGATTATACTGCAGTAACATTTACATTAAAAACAAAGTCAATGCCTGCCTTGCTCTGTCCTTAGAGATGATTAAATCTAGATAGGAATCATCCTCTGATCTAGGTTCTAATTTGGTATTTGGAGGTTTTCATTATATTAAATACCATTTTCCAGCACCCGTGAAAGAAATGTTAATGTGTCATTGTAATTTGATTCTAGAATTAGATGGAGACGTATAGCTCTAAAAAACTTACTGGAATATCTTCTGAAATACATTGAGATAGGAAATTTAGAGGCTGCATCAAAGACGTAATGTATATAATTTAGAATTCATACAGAAAATGTAAAATATAAAAGTCCAACCACCTTTCCTTTCTTCCTCAGAAATGTCATGAATTTTCTGGTTCACGAACTCAGCATAGGATGCAGCATACCACACCTGCAAGAACCAAGTACATCATCAAGAACCAAGGGACATTACCAGATGTTCTTTGCATGCTTAAATTATTTCTCCTGCTTACATGAAACAATTTGAGCTTTTCCATGGCCCATTAAAAAAAAAAATCATGCTGTGAGTCTCCCCCTGCTATACCCTCCTAGCAGATCATCAGCCAGGAAGTTCATCTGCCGACACGCACTGCATGTTTTCTTTTTCCTCTTTAGAAAACTGTTTTTGCATTATAATAACTTTACAAGAATTATATCCCAAAGTCTCTTCATCTACATAAACAGCCTCATCTGATTTTTTAATCTACATTTAAGCACAGGTTTTTACACAATTGTAATCATTAGTGGCTGCCACCAAACAGCTCTCACTGGGATCACCGATGACTATTTCAAACGCTACCACACTCTCCTGAGTCTTTTCCTCCCTCCCACCCCATGGGCTGTACTCTCTCACTCTCCTTGTCTAGCTCTCTTCCTCTCCTAACTTCTAAATATTAGTGTTCCCCAAAAGCTTAGTCCAAGGACCTCTTAGTTTACCCTCAGGTGATCTCATCCGTTTCCAACAAACTCTATGCTAATTATCTGCAAATTAAAATCTCCATTCCAGACCCTCCTTCTCTGTTCCCTCTAAGTGATTTCAACTGGATATTTTGGATGTCTCACAAACAGCTCAAACTTAACATGTCCAGAATGGAATTCTCGATGCTCCCAACTCACACCCCCACCCCTGTCTATCTTCCCCATCTCAGTAAATACCTTCCACCTAAAAGGTGGCTTTGCTTCTACAGTCGTAGAAGCAAAGGACTGCTGCTTCCTCGGATGCTCTCCATCTCTGCTCCTGCCGCCCACATGCATGCCAGCACCATCATTTGCCTGGACTACCACCCAGTCTTCTAACTAGCCTCTCCCACCCCCTTTTCCTGCAATCTACACAGAGGCCAGAGTGCTCTCCTTAAATCCCAATTACCCTGATTTGATCACTGCACATCGTATAGAGGTATCAAAATATCACATGTACTCCAAAAATGTGTACAACTAACATATATCGATAAAAACACACACAATCATGGCCGGGCGCGGTGGCTCACGCCTGTAATCCTAGCTCTCTGGGAGGCCGAGGCAGGCGGATTGTTTGAGCTCTGGAGTTCGAAACCAGCCTGAGCAAGAGTGAGACCCTGTCTCTACTGAAAAATAGAAAGAAATGATCTAGACAACTAAAAATATATACATATATAAAAAATTAGCCGGGCATGGTGGCGCATACCTGTAGTCCCAGCTACTTGGGAGGCTAAGGCAGAAGGATTGCTGGAGCCCAGGAGTTTGAGGTTGCTGTGAGCAAGGCTGAGGCCACGGCACTCTAGCCCAGGCAACACAGTGAGACTCTGTCTCAAAAAAAAAAAACAAAAAAAAACTCACACACAATCAGATCTCGTCGTGCAGGCAATGGCCTCTCGTTTCATGATAAACCTGAAATGCTCCGCGATAGTCTCCAAAGGGCTCCATGCCTCCCTGACCTCGGTCCTTGCCATGCTCCCTTCCCCACTGTTCAGCCAAGGGTCCACTTCCAGCTGCTCAAACATGCCAATGCCTTCCCACCCCCTGCCTTCGCCCCTGCTGTTTCACCCCAGGAACACCGGGCTCCTCCGCTCACCCCCGTCCCAGCCCTCTGCAGCGCTGGCCCTTCTTGTTCCACAGTGTTTGGCCTGCAAAGCCTCCCCTAATCACATCTAAACCCGAACCGGTCCCTTTCCTGTCACCTGCTCTTTCTGTACCCTCTGTTTCCTTCGTGGCACTTACCCCTCTGTGATATTATGTGCTTGTTTACACCTTTCTGCCCTTTTCCCCTGTAGAATACAAGTTCCCTGAGCATAGAGAGCCAGTCTGTCTTTTCCTAGTGTCTGAAACATAGCGGGAGTTCAATATATCAATCACTAAATGAACTGATCATATACAATTTTACGGAACATTATTTTAAATATATGGAAATATTCATAGAGACTTCATTTTTCAACTGTGGGATAATATTCTATAGAGTCTGTATTCCATATACTTAACTATGTCCGTGTTTGGACTTTC